TTTCTGTTCCAATACATTAGCTTCTGAAAATAAAATTTTATATTTTGAAATGTTAAATCTTAATTCCAGATATTTTTTACTTGGACTGACTTTTTGTTTTACTAGTTTCTTAAATATGGAATGGAATTTATAAATACAGCAAACAACATTGTTTGTATATTATAATGGCTTCAATAATTCTTTTCAAATTAAACTTGAAAAGGAGAAAAAAATTTTCCATCTAATAAAATTGAAAAGTTCTAAAACAGTTTTGTAAATATAAATTTATTTTTATTTAATTTAGGACTTTAAAACAGTTTAGCAAAATAAACATAAAATAAATAAACAAAAGATAAGTCATAAGTACCTAAAGACAGCTTAAAATTTGAAATATTTATTAATAAAAACTAAAGTTTACTAATCCATCTTACTTAAAATACATGTTTTAAGCATAGATGATGATCACACTTCACGTAATAAGAAGTAAAATCTTTCTCTACAATAATTTTAATATAAGATTCTAAAAGTGAAGTGAAAGTCTGGAGAAATTTTGTTTTATTAACACATTAATTTGATTTTAAGTTCTTTAGTGAACTTTGAAGTTGCAATAATTTTTTAATTCCATTTATCTATACTACTATATAAAGAGAGAATGTATTTTTAGTTTGTTCCAACTAACCACAAAAACTACTGAACCAATCATTACCAAATTTTAACTGTAGCACCTTTATGATCCCTGGAATGTTTATCACTAATCAAACCTACAGATTTTTTATTAATTAAATAAAGCTACAATGGATTTCTGTCTGTCTATTTGTCTCTCTCCTCACTAGATGGTGGCAACACATAAATTAGTACTTCCTGTCAAGGCATTATCAAGTATATTATTGAAGTTCACTATTATATTTGAAGAACTGACATTAAATTATAATTAGTTAACTTGCAAAATCTTTGAGGAATTAAAAAAGTGACATCATCATGCTAGATCACAGTATATATATATATGTACATATGGTGGGTTTTTGAATCATTACATATTGTATTCATGATTTGTTAGGCCTAGCTGTATTTGCATGAGTTTTATTTATTTATGTGAGCAAAGATTATGCCTACTCAAAAACGACAAATCTTTGGTGCAAAAAACTCTGAAGTGCTTTCATTTATGACACACTCTTAGACTATTCATCATCAGCTAATATTGGGTCTATAGATAAAACGCCTACAATTTCCAGTCGATCTATGCTTTGCAATGACCATTAGCAAATCTCAAGGCCAAAGCCCGAGAGTTGTAGGACTTGACCTAAGATGCAGTTGCTTTTCACATGGCCAACTCTATGTTGCGTGTTAGTAGCTGCAAATCTGCTCATTTGTGCTCCTGATGATAAAGCACGAAATGTTGTATATTGGGAGGTTATTCAATAAGTTTTCCTAGAAAATATTCCACACCTTTAATAGGAATATAATGAATCTGTAACAGAATTCTCTGCAGATATACTCTTTAGGTAAGTAAATATAATTTCACCAAATATCTCCCATCAACAACGGGTAACACAGCTAGTAATTAATAAAAATGGGAATGCCATGTTTGTCCTATGTTCATTTCAAATGTTATTGCNTTTTTTTTTTTTTTATTTTTTTTTTTGATGATGAAAAGAATGAGGGAATATTACTTTCTTATGTAGTAAAATTACTTCTCCCTCCAAGTTGTTATTTAATTTCCCTGAGAAAATAAATGTATCTTCTACATGTTGTTTACACTAATGGAAACCACATTTGTCACTTTTGCAAAAAAAAAAAAAAAAAAGGTAAATTTTGTAGTCATTACAAATTTAAAAACAGAAATTTGTGATGTTATTAATTGATAACACACAACAAAATTTCCACAAAGAAAAATATATTTAATACTTTAAACAAAAAATATTTTAACACTATATTAAATAATAATAAAGTACAAAATTCACTTGCCTGATATAAAATGTTAGCCCACTTTCCCTTTAAATCTTTATCATTTATGGTCAAGAGTTTGGCTTGAAGATGACGAAACACTGGACGGTAATTATATAATCGTCTTTTATGATGACTTAAGGCAAAATCTATCCTTTGTTGCAAACTCCAGAAATGTGATGATAAGAAGTAACGAGGAAATAAATAACTGTTACAGAAAACATATTTTCAGTCATAGCAATTTTTTTTTCTATTAGTATTTGTTAATTGTTAATTTTCTGTTACTTACGCTAAAGGAAAAACAACATAATTTACAAATGGAAGAGTTGAAATGAGTAAAACAGGTACAACTTTTTTCATATCTTTCGGAATCTAAAAATAAAACAAATCAGTTATCTAATATGTTCATATTTATAAAATATAAAATGTTTTAATACATACTTGAAAATATATTTCCAATTCCCTTCTTGTCAAATTCCTTACTGACTTTCCATAACGTAAATCATGAGATATTCTCATATATTCTTTTATATCTCGATATAATTCTTTGGTTCCTAGTTTTCAAATAAGATTTTTATATTATAAAAATAAATATATGAATAAGAAAAGTTAATATTTATAAAGGAAAGTCATCATTTACCTACAGAAAATACCTGATAAACTTTAAATGCACTGGGGAATTTATTCTGTAATATGATTTCGTATCCTTTAACAAATCTGCTAAATTTATTTTCAAAGTATTGTTTAAGTCCCTTTGCTGGTTTAACATATTTGCTTCCATTCTTACTTGTACTTCCGGTACTATATAGCCTAGGGGGGAAAAAGTAACAGTGAAAATTAATTTCATTTATTTTTATTTAATATTTTCAAACCATAGCAATCTGTTAATAGTCTATATATAATATTCCTAATTCTTCATGTCTGAAGGTTAACATTATTTATATCAAATATAAACATGAAAGAATAGTACATTATAATGAACAATTAGTTGGCACATGCAATGCATCAAAATTGAAATTATTGTGTTTCATTTAACTACCAATATCTCAAAATAATTATTGATAAATTAAGAAATATTTCTAAGAATTTATCTGTAGATTTTCATGTGGATATGGAATATATTAATAATGTTAAATTAATTAAATATATGTATGATAAGTCTTAATAAATTTTTCTATTGCTCTTCTAATAAATGATTGTAATCCCAGTAATTTTTCATGAGCAGTCTTTTCCCAAGTATGCCAAGAACCTTGTCCCTCATCACTGGTCCAACTATGGGCTTGGCAAAATTTAAGTTGGGTACGATTTTAAGACTCTCTTAGTGTCCATAGAGCAGAAAAGATTAAAAGTGAAAAAATAAAGGATTTAAAAAAATTAATAATAATAATTAGAAAAATAGCATTAAGATACAAAAAAAAAACTTTTTTGTGAATTTTCCAAATATAAACTTTTTGTTTTGGCAATTTTACAAATAGCTTTAAGATCTTTCAGAATCCTAATGTAATGCCATTCATTATGTTTAAATCATTATTTTTCGATAAAATTTTCCAATTTTCACCATCATATTTATTAAATATAGTGGTGAAAATTGGAAAATTTTATGGTGGTGATAAAATATGGTGCTATTTATATAAATAGCACCATATTAATATTAGATATGATAACAATATTAATTAGTGATAGTTATCCTTCCCTTCTTAATGAATATGTTCAGTAATCATTATTTTTCATTTCTTTTACATTAACTGAAATATCTGTTAGAAAAAAAAATTGCATAGAATTAATCATTATAAAAGTAGAAAAACAAATTAATTGAAAATTAAAATAATTCCATCTTGATTAGTTATGCATTGTACTTTTTAATCACAAAATTTTAAAAGTTGTATAAGCAATGGACAATTTCAGAAATAAAATCTAGTCTAAACTAACTTATATCCTGTATGTGATTAATTCTTGTTATCTGTTGTTGTCCAGTTAAAAACCTTGGCTTAAATCAGGGGTCAGCAACCTGCATCTCCCATTCCACTCTCTAAATATATAGAACTTCTCAACTTATTACAGGTGAACAATCAGTGAATTATTAATTATAGCAAAATTATAGCAAAATTACAATATATCTTTATAGGTTAGAGATAGAACAAGTTTTTCATTAATGACCGTCTACTTTCATATCACATGATCAATTTTCTATTGCTTTCAAAAAAAGAGCTTCCTGACACAACCATATTTAAATGTATTAAACATTATTGTGTCAGGAAGCTTTTTTTCATAGTACACAGTCATTACTAATGTATATCTGTTTATCTCTTTTAAAAGTTTATGACTAGTAAATGTTACTAAGTAAATGGGAAAACTGATACAAAGTGAATATGGGAGAGATGCTGTTTGTAAATATAGCCATCCTTAACAGAATTATTGTAATTTTATATTATACTATCTTAAGTGAAATCTCTATTACAATGAACAACTATTTAAAATATCCAAGATTCACTACATCACAAAACCAATGAACAAGCATAAAAGAACTACTCATTTTGAGAAGAAAATGTTTTCATCCATTTTTAAAAGGACATCCTCAGGCTGGTGTTCTAAAATTCAAATTGCATGTTTTTGGAACTGATCATATCCTCCAATCATCAACAACTACATAAAGTATATGATCCAGTCTGAAAACGTGCAATTTGAATTTTAGAACACCAACCTGAGGATGTTCTTTTAAAAATGGATGAAAACATTTGCTTCTCAAAGATTTTTATGCTGGCTTATTGGTTTTGTGACATAGTGAATCTGATTAATATTACCAGTATTGGGATGTTGTTTTTATGATATATATAAAATGTATTAGTAAAAGAACAAAGTGTAAAAAGATTGATGATAAGAATATACTGAAATAATAATATTAAATAAAAAAAGCAATAAAAACACCTCAAAAGTTGGAAAATAATATAAATTGCATACACATGTAGTGGTTCCAGCAGGTACATTTATTAGAAAAAATTAACGTTTTTGATCAATTTCTGAGATCATCAGGTTATAATATGTTTCCATAAATCAAACGATGTTATTCGAGCAACTTTTTTAAAACAGAACATTCCATATGCCATGTGACAATATAAAAAAAAGCAATAGTAATGAAAAGAAAACAATTACAACACAGTTAAAACTAAAAGTAATAAAAGCTCTTAGCCAAATATTTTTTATTCTCAATTTAGCTAAGTTAAGAATACTCACCATAATAATAATTATTATGTTTGCACCTTAAAAAAAAAATATATATATGCCACTAATTACAATTCTATTGTATTAAAGACATTCTCATTTACATAGCCCATAGCTCTTGGCATTTGGTTTCTATTGAAAATTTAAAAAATTGGCTCTTGTTACAAAAAAGGTTGCCGATCATTGGCTTAAAACTAAATCCAATTCTTTATCATGGCTTAAGTATAAACTTTTTATTGCAATTAAACTAATGAGTTTTATTATTATTTGAAATGGTTCATTTCTTTTAACAATTAAACTAAATAGTAAACAAAAAATTGATTTTATATATGATTTATGAGATGTAAATTATAAATTTAACCATATAAAAAGATGCATAAAAATTAATGCACTTCTTTTAAAAAAATAAATTACTATTTAACATTTTTTAAGCTAAAAATTTGAAATAATAAAATTTGAAAATTTCAGATATATAAAATTTTATATATCTGAAATTTTGAATATATTCTACATATACATATATTCAAAATACATGTAATATATTTATGAATATTCAAACATTTAAACAGAATATCCTTATTATATAATACACAAGAATATACAGAATTTATATATCTGAAAAGTACATTACTTCAAGTTATTATGTATAATTGTAAATTTAATTATGAACATCTCCTTCAACATAATTGATTCTTTAAGTAAATAATCAAACATATTTATGGTATAAAGAAGCCAGAAATAGTTTATTTGAGAATGTAATATAATAAATACATTTTCAGAACTGGTTCATTCCATCATCAATTGCACAGCAGAAGTCAATCATGTAAAAAAATGATTAACTTCAGAATTTAAACATGCTATTTTAAATTTAATAATAGTTTTTTACTCCTTTCTAAGAGGGCCTTTCCACCAAATCTATTACAGGTTTAACCAGACCAACACTGGAGTGACTAGACAGCGAGGAACGTATTTGGACCAACCACCCGCCAAAAAGTTCCCAAGGTTTTTCAAGCCATCCAGATTTGATCCTGGATCTCTAGAGCGATAGACTGCCACCTTAACCAATCAATCAGTCATCCGGCCATGGCACAATCCTTGTTATGTGGCAGATTTCTAAAAATCAGGTGGCAAAACAAGAGTTGCGAAAATATTTATGCTTAAATAAATTATCTCCCACTTCTTTATGTCTTAAATGTTTGCATGCTTGTTTGTTATATATGTATAATGACAGCATATAGAATATCCTATATTACATATATTGTCATTATACATATCCTATATTATACATTCTATCTAAATGGTTTATTACTTCAAGTTATTATATAGTTTATCCTATGCAATTCTTGAGAAATTAATTGAATTTTAGAAAAAATTAGGTTGAGTCTAACCTAAAATACAATGAAAATGAGAGGATGACTCATTGCAAGATGCAATAAGCATCAATATGGCGTAGTGCACTGTCGAAATCATTTCATTTTGATATATATTTATATAATAGAATAGAATGCTTTTAAACAAGAAAAATATTCGTACATTTGTGAAATTGATTCATAAAAATAATAACAAACGTGTTAAATAATCAATTACAACACGTGGAAAACACGTTGGTATGCAAGCGTCGTACCGTTGTTTAAAGAAGAAAACGTTTTATGTTAAATGGCACAATGAAAGATTACCTTTGAGATGATATATCTTTAATAAACACAAGACGAAACCGGCAAATGCGAGATAACATATCAAATTCACTGTATTTGTATCACAGCTTCCATCTTGTTTTGGTCTGGTGTAGTTGTTAACTTTGACGACAGATGGCGGCAATGTTCGTCTTCGTTTCTGTTTTTTATCGATTATGCCTTCATTTTTAGCTTTTCTATAAAATTTTTATAGAAAAATGCTTAATTTTTTAAGTTGAAAATTAATATTATCTCTTATATATAAAACTGACAGTTTGGTAAAGTACCGTTAGCTTTTTGTAATTCATTTGCCCCAATCTTCGGGAAAAAAAAGGGAAATTTTTATTCTTGTTTTTTAAAAAGATGTTGCTGATCGTTTCTTTAATATTGCTGATTTTAAAACATTTTAAAATAATAATAATAAATTTTTGTTTAGTTGTTGGTTTTTTTAATTATACTCAATTAGGCACCGCATTTGATAAGGGACGGCTTATAGGCTACACGAGTTTGCTGACGTAAAAAGTTAGCCAATAATAAGCAATGTAATAAGTTTCAATTATGCTTACTGTATATACTTTACTGTAATCAGTCGTATTCGAATAGTCAGTTATGAGAAACCACCGGACGTGACGTCAGTTAAAAATCGTGACGTTTACTCAGTCACGTGTCAGTTGTCTGAGAAGGAGAGCGGCATTTGACGTTGTCTAAATTCATAACATGATGATAATTTTATCATCAGCATTTCGTCATCGTCGGCTACTGTCCGTATAATAGAAACAAATTTCGATATTTTTCGCCATCTTACTCGTTAGCTAGAAAAACACGTTCATAAAAAGGAACTTCATTCAGATTATCCTCCCAGTTGACGTCAACGGAAAGTTTCCTTTGACGTCACTCGGTTAGATTCGACCGACAAGTCTATGACTTTTCGAATACGCCCACTTGTGTCTCGTTATATTGTATTCTTTGTAGACTATAATGGCGTTTATATAATCCATTTCAGATATTGTGACGCAGAATAAGACAACGCAACAAATGAGCGATTTGTCCATTTGTTGCGTTACCTTATCCTGTTACAGTCGACCCCACCTATAACACTGTTGATAATTCCGTGTTATATGAATTCCATGTTGTACGAGTCACTTAGATTTTACAAATACGTGTGCCGGGCTGTGAACGGCTCACGTATTTGTAAAAGCTAAGTGACTCGTACAACATGGAATTCATATAAAATGGAATTATCAACAGTGTTATAAGGGAGTCGACTGTAATCTAATCCCACGGGAAAGCAAATTCCTCCACCATCCAATCTTCTCACTGATGTGGTTCATTATTATGAACATAATAAAGACATATCACTCTCTATCTCTCTACTTATCTACTGGACTTGGCAGTTTTCTTTAACTCTCCCCGCCTATTATGAGTTTGGCCAGGCCCACAATGGGGAGATTGGATGGTAAGAGATCGGGTTCGACATATCAGGATGGACCACCGCCGAAAAATTTTTGGGGATTTCGGCCCGTCCTGATTCCGGTTCTCCCAGAACGGTGAGCTATCACCTTAACCACTCGGTCATCTAGCCTGATTTCAATACCAAACTAGAAAAATACTGATTTAAACGTGAAAATTACTCACAATTCTGAATTTATGTGACATTTTGTATTAAATAAGATTAAAATATTACATGGATTTTTTTTATTTTGCAAAAGCAAGGTTCGGATTTTTTCATCTCTGGACATTATATCCAAAATATATTAATAACATGTAGAATCTACATGTTATTAATATATTTCTTCATCAAACAAAGTTTATACAGTAAAGAATTTTCTGGAATCGATGAGAATCAGAAAAGAGCATTTACTAGAATTACCGAGTTATTAATTCTTTCTGAAAATTAGGTAGCAAGAAAATGTCTTGTGCCGTTTAATCTAAATTGATTTCTAAGGTAATGGTTAATATCATTGAAACGAAATGGAAGTAACAAGTTTACACGATAATTAATGAACGAAATTAAGCTAATCCGATCAATTCAATTCCTAATCAGATTTTTTAGATTAACTCTGATCTTTCTAGGGAAATGATTAGTGCGGTTCTATTTCTAAATGGAACCAAACTCGCATCTACAATCAGGGCATTTTTGAATATCGAGAGAGGCTTGGGCCAATTTTGAGGCTCCAGTATATACAAAAGACAGTGTAAATAAATTTTTAAATTTTGACAAAAATAAAGTTGTTATTTTTATACAAATGAAACGAAACGAATTTCTTGAGGCTCTCGTAAATGTGGTTTAACAAGACATGTGGACTTTCTGGGTTCAATTTAGGTGTTATAAACGTGAACTCCACGTGAACAGCCCGTTGGCCAGACTCAAACCCACGATCAGAGGCGTCTTAACGGCATTATAGGTCTCTGGGCAAAGCAGTGCACTGAACCCCGCCTACATAATGGGCGAGTGATCGGAAAATTAGTGTTAAATTCAGTTCTGTATATTATAAATTAGCGTGGTGCTCTCCCAGGCTAATTTATGGACATACGTTTAGACGACACTGCCCACGACCATTGCCAGTGTTCATTTGTTTTATCCACTCGGCACTGGTGAGTTCTCGTAAATGTCTCCCAGACCAAATGGGTCTTCTATAGGGCCTTGCGCTCCTGTTTATAGTTAATCGAACTATCAGGTCAGTCCATAAGTTCGTGCGCATTTTTATCTACAAAAAAAGCAACAAAAAATTTTAATTAAATTTTATTTCAATCTATAATGTATTCACCATTATTTTGTACAATTTCTTGTCATCTTGATGGTAGCTTTTTAATCCCGTCTTTGTAAAATGACTTTGGTTTTGAATCAAAATATTCAGAAATAGCCTTTTTTACATTGTTCTCATCCTCAAAAGTTTTCCCTTTATAAAATTCTGCAAACTGTGAAAAAGATGATAATCACTGGGAGCAATATCTGGCTAATATGGTGGATTAGGTAAAATTTCCCAGTTGAAGCTGTGGCCAACCTGGCAACATTACCGCGCCCTTAGTTTTCGGTCTTTGTCTCCCGGACAGTCTGTCTGACCACGTGTATGGTACTGCCGGCACTCTGTATAGTATTCGAGCGCTTAATAAATTTGTTTTATTAATTGGAATCTACAATTATTTGATCAAGACCCCAAAGTGGTGAGCCGAACGTGATCACAAGAACTTATTTACCCAATTCTGTGAGTATTTATATTATATATTTCTGTCATGAGCAAGATCGAAGACCCTGTCGAGGTAGCACGTGTATCAGTGAAAATTCCACCCTTTTGGAGAAAGAACGTTAGAGTATGGTTCACACAGGTGGAATCACAATTCGCTGTCTCTAATATCATGACAGAAGTTACGAAATACCATCATGTACTAGGATCACTTGCCTGTGAAATAGCCGAATTGGTCGCCGATCTAATATCCCAACCGTTGACGAGCACGCCCTACACGGACCTAAAAACGTGATTAATTGACGAGTTCGAAGAATCCGAAAGTAGGAAGGCAAAAAAATTACTCCTAGAAATCGAGCTAGGAGACAAAAGGCCCTTGGCACTACTAAGAGAAATGCGGGCGCTGGCCGGTACACAAGTAACGGACGAATTCCTTAGAACGCTCTTTCTACAGAGGTTGCCTAACAATGTACGTTCAGTTTTAGTGACCAAACAAGACAGTCTCCATACCTTGGCCGCTATGGCTGACAAAATTATGGAGATAACCAGTCCTAATTCAGACATTTGTTCCACCAGTGGTGCAACCGCACACCAAACAGATCGGCTCTCTCGTTTGGAGAAAGCTGTATCAGAACTTGCCATTTCGATCCACGAGTTACGAGCACGTTCCCCATCACGCTCAGAGAGACGAAGGCGCTCTCCCAGTCCAAATGTACCGGGTTATAATGTTTGTTGGTATCACTTCAAATTCAAAGCTAATGCCAGGAAGTGCACCCCACCTTGTTCTTTTAAACGTGTCATCAAGGAAGCCTCGGGAAACGACTAAGCCCCGCTCTCTCTGCCACTCAGAGG